CTTGCCGCGCGTGCGCATTCAGCCCAGGAGGAGGATCGGAGGAGGAGAGGAGGCAGAGAGCTCCCCGCCCAGCGCTGGAAAAAGGTAAGTTTTTACCCCTTTCCCCCTTCCAGAGCCTGGCGGGAGGGGGTCCCTGAGGGTGGGGGCACCCTCAGGGCACTATAGTGCCAGTAAAACGAGTATGTTTTCCTGGCACTATAGTGGTCCTTTAAGATGATACATTTGTAGTTGTGTGTGAACATAATGACCACATGCATTTAAATACAGTTGGTTTAAAATAACATCTAACATATGCACTGTATAATGAAATTTCTCATTTTAGGAAAAATAATAAACTTATAGGGACACTAAGCCTGAAGGAAGATCTTTTCAAAAGTGACATGTCTCTGCATATCACTGTGAAAACCTAAATAGCAGAATGCATTTTTATTATAAGCAGTGTTTAATTTTTCTCACTGTAATTCCTAATGATTCCCAATGGCTAAAAATGGGTATACCCAGTGGGCATAACTATACAGATTGGAGGGAAACCATTCAACTGAAATAAATATTTTAGACAGTACCATATGTGGGCGAGAGTTTAGCATTGATTCCTACTGTTGAAGAAATGTTTAAGTGCCATCAGTGGGGTTTTATTGGGTGACCAGAGACAGCCTGTAGTATACATTTCTGGTTGAAGTGGATATTCATAAAAGGATATCAGCTTGAGGAAAATCAATTCAATGAAGACATTAATGGAATATGGTACACATCATTTACTTGTATTCAGCATCCAAAGAGAATCAAGACTACTTATCAAGTGAAAATGGCTTAATACAATTCAATAGCATTATAACCATTTGATCATGGTAACATATGGGATATAGCAGTATAATACTGCATGTGATCTGAGCCAATAACAAAAGCTCAAATAAGTCAATCAGTAGGGGCAATTATATCATAGCATTATAATTAGTTATCCCTGTTGCTTGTGCACAACATTTCTCCAGAATGTAACTATGAGCCACATTACAAGGTACACTGCAATAATAAAGAGAGGATTGGACTCGAGTGTCCTGGTGGGAGAGTTAGCAAAAAGGAAAGAGGAAAAAAAACAAAAAGAAAGCCCTACCTTTATTGAACCTAAAGGAGAAAACAATAGTATAAAAACCTAAGACAGGGCAGGGTGAGAGACGGCTAGTTGCTAAAATACCAGCAAATAAATAAATAAATATATATATATATATATATATATATATATATATATATATATATCCCACCACTATCTGGGGGAGGGAAGTAGGAGTCACTATAAAAATATACCTTTTAATTGGTAGGGTCTGATAGGTTCACTGGCAGCAGAATAAGTCCTGTAATTAATAAGCAGGATCCTTTGGAAAGGTTAATCTTATTAACTTTATTTATGCTATATGCAGTGATCGGTCCGAAAAAGATGGACGGAGCAACCGCTTGACGGACACTTCTGCCCCGTCCCATCTCAGAATGCCGATCAGCAATAGTGTTTTTTTTTACTTCTTGCGTCCCCCTCCCCTCCACGCACATTGGCCAATATGACTGCCCATTAGACATGAAGGATGTGATTTATCCTCTATCAGCTATGCCTCACTGATGATGCCTAACAAGGCTGAAACGATCGTCTGGGGTTGCTGTATCTCTCGTTCAGAGAGAACTTGCTGGCATTTCAGATCTGGACTGCCCGTATGGGTGGGACCAGTCTGATATGCTTCAGATATGTTCTCTCTGTAATGGCACAAGATGAGCTAAAACCAGCTTGAGTTCTGAGCGGGGACCCACCGAAGGGCAGGCTATTTTAGCTGCTGTCCGTTCTCAGAACACTCTTGCGACCCGTTTTTATCTCTCCATAGTTTAAAGGGTAATCCAGACGTGGACCCTTTGCTCACGGTGCCTAGAGAGATATCAACTATGCCTCACTGATGATGCCTAACAAGGCTGAAACGATCATCTGGGGTTGCTGTATCTCTCGTGCAGAGAAAACTTGCTGGCATTTCGGATCTGGACTGCCCGTATGGGTGGGACCAGTCTGATATGCTTCAGATATGTTCTCTCTGTAATGGCACAAGATGAGCTAAAACCAGCTTGATTTCTGAGCGGGGACCCACCGAAGGGCAGGCTATTTTAGCTGCTGTCCGTTCTCAGAATACTCTTGCAACCCATTTTTTGCTCTCCATTAGTTTAAAGGGTAATCCAGACGTGGACCCCTTGCTCCCGGTGCCTAGAGAGATATCAGTTATGCCTCACTGATGATGCCTAACAAGGCTGACACGATCGTCTGGGGTTGCTGTATCTCTCGTGCAGAGAAAACTTGCTGGCATTTTGGATCTGGACTGCCGTATGTGTGGGACCAGTCTGATATGCTTCAGATATGTTCTCTCTGTAATGACACAAGATGAGCTAAAACCAGCTTGAGTTCTGAGCGGTGACCAACCGAAGGGCAGGCTATTTTAGCTGCTGTCCATTATCAGAATACTCTTGCAACCCGTTTTTTGCTCTAATTTATCCTCTACTTAGAGCTAATGGGATCGCCGGCCTCCTCTTGGGGGCACCACGTGTATAGCATTAGGGGAAGCAAGATACCAATAGGGGGACGGACAGGCAGTCATCCAAGCACTGCCCCTAGCGAGTATTGTCCAATGAAAGGATGGACAGGGCTTGACAGTAAGAGACTGATGGATAGTCTTCTCACTGTAGCCCTGTCCCCGATCGAAACAGGCTAGTGAATGGACATTTTTCGCTGTATATCTCCGCCCCCAGTCGGCAAAGTTTAATCCATGTATAATTAACAACACACCTACTACACTCAGCCTTTCCAGATTATCATTAATTGACAAGGTAGGACCTATATAAACAGACATTGGTGGCCAGAGCATTTTGATATTGCTCCTGACGACGGCGTGCTGACACGCCAAAACGCTTGTTGAGCTAGTTAGTTTAGTTTGATTTTCTGCACAATTTTAGCACTAGGTAGCACTTATGCACTTTTTGTTAATTTCATTTAATTTATTTAACTTTTGGTACCGGAAGGGTGCGAGGTTCTGGTAGGCACTAATGATTCATTCACAGTGCCGAGGTAATATAGGGATATGAGAGTGCTTATGGGGGCTTTTCTCTGGGGTAGCTTACTCCTTACTCCTAGCCTCCATACCCCCACCTCTTATTTGTACCTGGACACTAGTAATTTACTCAGCATTATTATAGTCATGCACCTGTCCTATATCTTGATAAACTGCATATGGGCTGCATATAGGACTCCCTCTTAGCAGACTGCATCTGGACATAGGTATCTGCATTTGACTGCATAGGAGATATATATTTTTTTCTGGGGACTTTGTTGGACTCCTTGGCCTTTGCGCCATCTGCCCTTATTTAATCATTTTATTTTTTTATTTTTTATTTGTATTGGGCACCATACTGGTTTAGTGCAATTTATAGTCCCACAACCGCTTGGTACCTTTTGGTTTAGTAGGGTGGTGCCTCGGCCTCTATATACTCACAATCCCCTACTTCCCTCCCCCATATAGTGGTGGGATAGTTTTATATATATATATATATATATTTTTTTTATTTTTATTTTTTTTTTTATGCTGGTATTTTAGCAACTAGCTGTCTCTCACCCTGTCCTGTCTTAGGTTTTTATACTATTGTTTTCTCCTTTAGGTTCAATAAAGGTAGGGCTTCCTTTTTGTTTTTTTCCTCTTTCCTTTTTGCTAACTCTCCCACCAGGACACTCCAGTGCAATTCTCTCTTTAGTTGTACACTGCGGGTTATTACCCCATTTAGGGAGAGTAACAGTGGGTATTTCTTGGCACTGCTCCATTGGTCCCCTGTCTTATCAGGTCCTTTAGATCAGAGCCTACATTTATATTTTTCATTCACTGCAATTATAAATAAACAAGGAAAATAAACTGTTATATTATATTCTATAAATTATATGGATATCAATTTAACTATCAACAACAATTTTATATTCACTGATTAAAACTCAGGAGACAATTTATCTAAATGGTCTTATTTTTATTAGGATATAAAAACATATTTGAATATTAGAACTGTAGCGATGGTAGCAATAACTACAGATTATTAAATGGACACTCTAAGCACCATAATAATCACTATAGGTCCTTGTAGTTATTATGGATTACAGAGTATTTCACATCTCCTGTTTAATTGGAAAAAAAAAATGCATAATCCAGATGTTTGCAGATGAGCTTGGCTTTAGATTTTGTTTTTAACATAAAACAGTCCTGGTTTTCACAAACTGGTCAAAAACAGCTTGCCTTGGTGTCAAAAACTGCATGATATTGTTAAACCTCATAAACTATTGTCAGTTCACTACAGCAAAGTACACCATTTTCAGATGTTATAACCTACCTTAATCTCAGTAATTGCCAGGTGTTCACAAGCATATGATCTTAAGTTTATGGAATATAGTCGGCTGTGAATCATTATTCACTTGCTTATGAGCCATAGTTACCAAGTTTTTGATCTCCCACTTATATTTTAACCTTTGATGTTTGCTATGAATTTTGGTCACAGCTTTCATTCACAACTGATGCACATCTCTTGTATTAGGTTTTTTCACTACAATTAAAATATTGTGGTATACACATTAAAATACAAATTATATTAAAGACACAGCATACCTTTTTTTTGTATGTATTAGCATCTAGGAATATGCCTTATGGCTTACACTGCAAGGGTATTCGTCTATTGGAAAAATAAATTGTATTTTAAAGCATATTTTGACAAACTATTTTTTTTGGGAGGGGGGGTTTTTCATTGTGCTTTATATTACGATATTTTTGTGAAAAATCCTCATAAAAACTACTAAACATCCTGTGATATTGTTCTCTGAGTTTTTTGTGTCCTCTATAAAGTACTAAGTTGCAATATATCTCCACATTTTTTCTAATGTAATGATAGCATTTTCTTATCTTACTCTGACCCGCCTTGGTGCTCTCACTCCTCCCCCCCCCCCTTAGATCGGGGTTACAGAGCTGTCCTATCAACCTATTCTACAACAACACGTCCACACAGTGATTACCAACTGTGGTCAGCCCATGATGACATCAGAGGAAAAGGTGGATGCGTCCTCTGAACAAGTCATAAAAGCTTTTACATTACATTATTCTCCAGGGCCTTCGAAGGTAGGAGAAAGGTCCCGAGCATGCAGCCCCGATATTCCCTAAAGTCACACCAGCCATAGAACCACTGATTGAGATAAATCCAAGCCTTTAGATGTTTTCAGCACGCCCAGCACTATCACAACTAAAAGGGACTTATGGATTCGATTGGGGTTTAATAACATTTAATATGTTTTGAATATACAGACATCAATTATATAAATTTTTGCTAATCTTCTGCATCAACTTTTTGAGTGCGAAATCACTTTTTCATTTTTGGTGTATATTTGGGGAAACCTGTTGGACGGTGACCTTGATACCAGCACCATCAGTAACAAGAGATTGCCAACAAATATATATAATATATAATTGTAGTTTATAAAATAGTAGACCCTTAGTTGGCCAGCCTGCATTATTCATGCTAGATTGACCATCCAATTTATTGGGCAGTCCCGCCCCTTTTCCAGCATGTCCACCTCTTTGAGCGTTACCAGTTACATGATTCATGTCAGTGGCCCATCCTTTTACACTGCCCACTGACTTCTTTCTTCTCTGGATGCTGCTGTTAGGGGGTATGGATTTGCTTGCTTGATTGATAAAAGAGAGAGATTATCATAAGGTATTAGTTTCTGTAACGGATCACCTGGCACCCCGACTGGATACCTCCATTGAAGGATGCTCCTAGCGCTTACAGAGGGCTCCAAGCGCTCCACCAGACACCACAACACCGCAGATTGGTTTGGGTCTCGTCGTCTCCTACCCACCCTGGACCTACAACAAGGCTCCAGGTTCCAGTCGGTGAACCTCTCCTCCAAGAGAGTGAAGCAGGAACAAGCTCTTAAAAGAGCTTAGAAGTGATTATCCAAGGGAGCATGCAGAGCATAGCAATCCCTTTATAGTGATATAGCAATTCCCCCAATAAGAGACAGGACTCTAGATTGAGGGTGAAGAAGAACTGTATTACTTGGCACCTATGTGTGCAGGTTTTCCACACATAGTACCAGCCACATGGTTTTTCAGAACAACCAATAAACACATTACAACACATACAATGCAAGTACAGCAGCCAATCAGACACAATGGGACAATATAAACACACCCATCATATTCCTCCCCTCTGCTTAGGAGATAATTGAGTCAATTACTGTATCTATTCAATTATCTCCAAGCTGAAAAGTTACACTTTTTATACATTTTTATAACTTTGTGAGTACATACATAAAACTTATATTATTTTAACCAGTATAACTTGGGGACAAACATATCCTAAATTCACTTGAATAGGTTCAGGGGTTTAAAAGTTAGTTTGAAGACCTTTGTTATCACTTGCAAGCATGGCTTTTCCTGCCCAAACCAGTTCCTACTGGTCCGGCAGTGTCCCTGGGACAACGCCCTGCTGGAGAACAATGGAGCTGGGGGAGGGGAAGAGCCACACCTTCCCAGAGATTCAAAGGGGAAGAAAAAGTGTCCAAAAAGTTTCAATATGTCCATACACTGTTTTTAAAGGGCCAGCACCGTACAATAAAAGTCCATAAGCCCAAATGCTGGTTTAAACAGGTACAATCTCCCAGGGGCCATAGTCGCAGGGCAGGAGGCTGGTAAGCAGGCCTCTCCAGGACCAAGTGGCGAAGTGCACTTCATCACAGTTTCCTTACAGCTGCAACCTATGAGTTTCCATCCAGCACTACCACCATCATATAAATGATGCTTTGGAGGTATGACTGTTTTAGTATTTTCTGTTGCTAAAATTCCAAAATTAGGCCCATCAAAATCTTCAGCACCAGGCCAAAATGTACTCTTAATCCAGCCCTTTTGTTAGCAGTTTGAAATTATTATCTTTAGCACCTTGGTACTGACAGCCTACCACAAGGACTCACTCAAACATGTTACCTACCATTAATGTGTTACTACAGAATAACACCATATTGATTCAAGTTTGGACTGTTGATTAAATCTTTCTGTAGACATCCCATTGTAAAGGCCTTGGTGGTAGTTTGCAGCATGAACTTTTTGTCAGAGCAACCCTTACCTGCAGAAAACAGGCCCAAATCAGGAAGAAAGGGATTCCCAGAATAGTTGCTTTTCACACACTTAGAATAGTCAGACTTAATGCAATTACCTTCAGGAAGGCAAACGCACATGGAACCTAAGAAAGGCAATAGAATGGTCATACACAAGGTTAAGGAATACAGAAAACACAATATCAGTAAATCAAGACAAATCAAGGGATTGTATGAATCAGGAATTACAAAGAACAAGCCAGATATATAAATATATATATTTACTTACAGACATGTATGTTTTATTATCTTCATTACTTTATTTGCCTGTTTTACTGTAGTACATTATGCAGTTGTGCTTTTTTGCTGTGATGCATTTAAGCTTTGATATCTTTAAACTAGTGCATTATACAGCTGTACCTTATTTTTAAGATTATGGTACATTATGCGGTTGTGCTTTTACTAGGAAGCATTTAAGCTGTGTTGCATTTAAGCTGTGTGGCATTTAAGTATACAAAAGTGCACTATGAAACCAACCGGTGTACAGAGCAAAGTGTGTAGCGCTGATTAAAATTAGCACTTACCCCTAAGGGTTAACAAAGTGATATAGTAAATTCCCTACAAGGGAATAAAATAGACACTATATAGTGTAGTATATTAGAAAAATAGTGGTGTAAATAATCACAATAATGGATCCACTCACATGATACAGAGCCACTTAAGGACCGGCTCTGATCTCTTCCACTTGTGTGTACTTAAAGGTGACACACACCTGTATCATCCGTATCAAATGCAGACCTCAAACAAAGACAAAGAGAGAAAAGCTTCTTTGGTGCAGAGATCCCAAACAAAGTGTATATAGATGAAATAAATTAGGGCTTCTCACCTTGTCCAGAGCCTTGAACTAGGCTCTGAGTAAAAATAGCAGATGTGACAGTATAGGGTGTCACTACCCTCCTTTATAGCAGCATGGACAATTCTTTAAAGATTAAAAATTAACAAGTATTTATTTAAATAAAAATATATAAAATAACAGACCAAATATACAGTCTTGTTGTCTGAGACGCGTTTCGCTGATCCTCAGCTTTCTCAATCGGTGCCGTCCATGCCGCCGGTCTTCTTTTTTATTTCCTGGATAGGAGGGGTTAGGGCTACGTCATCCGTGATACTGCCAACCACGGACGGCGTTGGGCGCATGCGTCGTGCTGCGTATTCTAACCTTTCGTGACGTCATCGCGCACGATGTAGCGTGCGTGTGACGTCACTTCCAGTTACACGAGATGCCGTCCTCGTCAATGTTCCCCACAATTCGTGTGTGTTCTCTTAGGTCCGCCCCTTTTCCATTCCCACCATTTCAGTTCAGGGCAACGGTATGGGCATAATGGAATGAAAAACTTCCATTCCTATTCGGATGTGCTGTATACCATTTTACCCTATACATCCATACTCAAGAGGGAGTATATACATAAAAAGAAAGAGAGAATATATACAAAAATCAGAGTTCCATCAATCTTAAAGATACATCAACTATAAAGTATAAAAAACTGCAATCTGCTTTATTTATATGTCTTAATGACGATGTATAATAACCATGTTGTCTTGAATTAACAAAGATAAAATATAGTGAACACTAAAAAAATATATATATATTAAAAAATATATATATAAAAAATATATATATTAAAAGTATCATTAAATATTAGGAAATATTAAAAAGTATATATGTATGTATAAAAAGTCACCTAATATATGGTGACTATTATAAAAAGTGACATAACTCAAAATCGTCATTAAGCCCATATGGTTGCATAGTGTTTAAATTAAAAATCCATTGCATCTCTGTTTGTCCTATATGTTTCAACAGATCTCCACCTCTCCAATTCACAACAATTCTTTGTATTCCTATAAAATTCATTAAATGGGGATCACAATTATGTTTTTCTTTAAAGTGCAGTGAAACGCTATGTTTTTCAAACCCTTTCTTGATGTTTCGTATGTGTTCCTGTATCCTGGTGTTTAATGTCCTTATGGTTCTGCCTATATAGGCTAGTCCACAGGGACAAGTGATCATGTAAATAACCTTGTTTGAGTGGCAAGTGATCATTTGTTTGATCTTAAATTGTTTAGTTCCATTCCCTGGAGGATTAAATTCTGTTGTGTGGCATTTTATACTGTTGGTGCCTCTACAGGCTCCACATGTACCGCAGCCATAAAATCCGTATGATTGGTTAAGGAAATGTTTTGTTTGTTGTTTAGGTGGTATATGGTTATGTGTCAAACTGCTCTTTAAATTACGTACTCCCCTATAGGTAATTGTGGGTTTTTCCGGAAGAATGGAGTTAAGCATAGGGTCACCCATTAGAATAGACCAATGTGTTTGTATGATTTTTTTCAGATGTCTATTGTTGCTGTTGAAGTCACAGATAAAATTCAGATTCTGAAATTCTGGGTCTGTTTTCTTATCTTTATATTTAATTAGTTCATTCCTATCAATGCTATCGACCTCTATGTATGCTTTCTCCAAAAGTTCTTTCTTGTATCCTTTTTCACTAAAATCATTGATAATTCTAACTGATTGTTCCCTAAATTTATCTTCTTCAGTGCAATTTCGTTTAATCCGTAAAAGTTGTGCCTTAGGTGCGTTAAGCAACCAAGGTGAGAAGTGGCAGCTATTTTCGCATATATAGCTATTTACATCTACTTTCTTAAAAAAAGTGCAAGTTTTCAATACACCTCCCTCTATATATATATTAAGATCCAGGAACTCGACCGAAGTTTTACTAGAGTTGCAAGTAAGGCGAATACCCCAATCATTTGTATTAAGGTGGTTTAGAAAGCAATTTAAAGAATCCTGATCTCCTCTCCAAATAAAAAATATATCATCGATGTAACGGCGATAGGTAACGAGGCCCGCAGCCCACCCATCATTGTCATGGATAAACTCTTGTTCCCAGAGTGCCATGAACAGATTGGCGTAGCTGGGCGCGAACCTCGTTCCCATCGCCGTTCCACATGTCTGGAGATAAAACTGCTCCTCAAACCAAAAATAGTTGTTTGTGAGGATCC